TGTTTCTCTCTACACTCTTTTCAACACGCTCTCAGTGTTTCATTGGAATTTTAGTGACCTTTCTTCCCTTTAATAGGTTTTAACTGTTTTGTCAACACTTACTGACTTATTGGACCTCTCGCCGGGTACAAGGACCAGCTACAAAATTGGGCCCCCAACTTGACAAATGTACTTGGAGACTGTCGCACTGGTCTTACGCGTACAGTGTCGCTCTTCTGGGTTAATTATCTTAAAGGGTCTACTTGAGTACAACACGGTTCTCTCTTTGTTTGTTTAAAGCCTCCAAGCGTTAACAAAAAGAGTTCGGTTTCTGGAAATTTTCTTAATCTGTATAAAACCTCTGGTTGGAGTCCCAGAAACCTTATTAAACCTTGAATCGGAATTCGTTTTCTTTGCTCTCTTCACCCATTAATCTTTCTGTAATCCCTTACATAAATAAGATGCAAATAAAGTAATTCGACGTCCGAAAATTATATATGTGGTGAGATACCAACGTCGCATTGGAGTTTGTTAATAAACCTTCACGTAAAAAGTGTGTACGTAAAGTCGTCTTTCGGTTTCTTACGTTGTGTGATAATTTCTGACTGTTTTTCCTAAAGGTGTTTTAATATTAAATTTATTATAGCTAGTCTTTTACGTACAACAAATGAGATTTCCATCCCATTCATTCTTACCTCTTTGGTCGAAAGCTCACCCCGCGATCTTAAACCTTTCATGCGTCGACTTTTTTTAGTTACGGGAAGGAAGTCTGAAGGAATGTCTCGGGGAGGAGGTTGTTGTGTGCTTGCGCGTCTACTGGTTACTCCGTGCTCTATTCAAAACCACGTGTCTACCTTCCCGACTGTCGTCCATCCGGTAGGTCATGAAAAATCGGGCCCGTCCGAGTCTACTACAAGCACGAAAAATGTCGCGGTGCCCGAAGGTGGTCTACTGTAAAAAATTACATAAATAACAGTTTCGTAAATTACATAAGTAACGAAAGCCCTAAATTCTCGTAAGGTACCTTATATTGATTTTCACAAAAAGACTTCACCTTTACTGGATGGAAATGAAATTACAGGGACCCTGTTTTGGTGATGAAAATACTTAAGTTTTTCGTAGTCATCAGTCGGAAGCCAAGATGAATCCTGTTAAAATAAAAGGACTAAATTTCTTACATATTAAGTTATAATAAACGAGTTACACACAGACAAACGTAATCCCCGGATTATGTAAACTCGGGAACTTTTCTCACATTTCTCTTTGTAACCCCAGTTTTAAGATGTGTATCTGCACGTGTGTGTGTGTGTGTGGTTGTGGTTGTGTGTGTGTGTGTGTGTGTGTGTGTGTGGTTGTGTGTGTGTGTGTAGCCTAATTAAAGCATGGAAGCCATATGTGTTAATGAGCTCCCTCATTAAGCGGCAGCTCTCCTCGTTAGGGGGAGAGGCGTCGCTGGTGGAGGAGAGAGGGAGCGGCTCTCTCTCGAGCTCCTGCTGAGTTCACTGTCCTACGCTGAAGAGGGGATTATCATACGGAGGGGAAGCGAGGAGACATTTTGGCGAGAAAATGTATTTCTGGAGATAGGTCTTTTAAAACGTCATTAAAAATAAAAGTGTTTTTGTAAAGATTGACAAAAGGGTTTTCAAACTGTTACAATACATGTCTCTTAGATTATTTAGGTTAACACAACAAACCAATCACCTTTCAGAATTTCAAACTAAGGACAATAAAAGCAAAGATTGACTGTAAACGTCAAACGAATGTCAAACTTAGAAATGCTGTTTTTATCACTGAAGCATTATTTTTGAAATACAAACAAAACAGGGTAATGTGAATACAAATATGCTAATTAAGCTTTAATTGAACAGCTAACTTGTTAACTTAAAAAATAACTTCCTGTTCACCTTCTGGTCGTCAGTAAATATACCATTCGAAATTGAGCCTCTAGATGTACCATCTTTGTCACTATAGGTTGATGATCAGATGAAGACATTATGGCTCTGACATAGTGGATTTGATGTTCCTGAGTCTGCTTAGCTGCACAGAGATCCTGAATAAAATACAGATCTTTGATTTAGACATTGAAGGTTAATATTTCTGCGTCTTTGCTCAAATGAGGTGCACCATTTGTATAGATTTGCACAAAGATGTTTTCTGCCAGTAATTGACCACATCTGATTCCAAAAATAGTTTTAGGCAATTAGGACAAATTGCCTCTGTTTACTTACACTTAACTGTACTGCTTTTAAACATTTTGAGATGTTTTTGGTATCCATTCTTGCACAAAAATATCCTTCATTATATTTGTTACTGGAAATGTGTATTTCCACATGTATATTTTCCACATGTAGCCTATATATATTTTTTAATTGTTATTTTATATTCTTTAAAGGTGGGGTAGGTAATTTTGGAGAAACCAGCTCGAGTGCACTAGAATTTGAAAATACACAGCCGGAAAAAATCTGCCACTTCCTTACAGAGCCCCTCCTCCAACACACACGAACGCGCACATGACCAATGAGGGCACGAGATAAGTTTGTGCACAGGCTGACAGGCAGGTAGGCCATCCAGTTATTTTAGCCGGGCCGGTGAAAATGATTGGTCGTGCTTTTTACAGCGCCACGGCTTCCACAGATGAACTGATTTTTTGTCAAAGCATTTAAGAAATTCATTGCTTTCGGGATGTTAAGAGCATTCCATGGAATATAACAAAAAGTGTATCTCGAGCCGGTTTCTAAAACTTACCTACACCACCTTTAACTTTTTGATTTTTTTATGATATTTTATTTGTATTTCTGAAACATTTTGGACTGTTTATTTCTTGTGTCTTAATTTCTCTCATGTACATTGCCTTTTGTTTTTATGCTGCTGCAACGCAAAAATGTCCCAAATTTAGATCAATAAAGTACCTATCTCTATCTATCTATCTAATTGGCCACATCTGATTCCGAAAATTGGTTTTGGCAAATAGGACAAATTGCCACTGTTTACTTAAGCTGTACTGTACTGCTTTTAAACATTTTGAGATGATTGTGGTATTGCTAAACAAATCCAGTATAAATTGTATTCCACTGCTGTCACTTAACCATGTAATGAGTTGGTTATTGTGTTTCTCTCTATATGAACTGTGAGATGAAAAAGTGTCGATGTTTTCCCCCTGCAGGCTTCCTCTCCTGCAGAGGCGCCGGCGGCTCGTCCTCCCTGTCCACAGCCTGGTGTGCCTCGCCGCCTTCGGCCTCGCTCTGCCTCTCGCCATCAGCCTCTTCCCACAGATGTCCCAGGTACGTCATCACAAAATAACTTCATCCTATGCAAAGGAATATGTCTTTGCCCTAATATATAATAGATTGTGTTTTTGAAGTTGTTTTTTAACACCAATTCTTGCTTCTTCACATTCTCTGTGTATTAAATAGCTGCTATGCTCATGATAATAATAATAATACATTGTTGTTATATAGAATTTCATCTCAGAGACACTTAACAATAAAATAATCCATATGAAAAAACAAGATGCAATGAAATGGAATAGAAATAAACAAACTATCAAAAGGAAAGCGGCCAAATAGGTTAGCCTTCAGGTGGCGGAAGGAGTTTATCAGGAAAAGGGAGTTTTTGAAGGTCTTGTTGAAGGATCATTCTGTGTGTTACGGTCTGATATGAGGACATTTCTGGAAGGAGGGAACAGCAACCGAGAACAATCCTCATCCTCATGCCTGCCATGACTGATGTTGATGACCGGGGTCTCCTGACCTCTTTATCGTCCCCCATTGAGTTTTACAGAGGCTCTGCTAATGAGGCGTATCCCTCGGAGGCTTAACCCGCTCTGTTATGATCTGCCCACAGTCTCTACTGCCTCCATTCATCGAAGCCATGCAGGTTGAGATCTAACTTGAGCCTTATTGCCTCAGTATGTGTCACACTACTCATTAAATGGCGTTTTGTTTTTCACTCCATGTCTCTATCTTTTTCTCTTGTCTTTGCCAAATGACTCGCTGACACAAGACAAGCAGCCCTGGCTTTAAAATATTTAGGAATTAATTACCACTGGAAATATCTCAGACAGCCATATGGCACAAAAACTTCAGGCATATGTGTTGCTGACAGTCCTGTGAAAAGCTGCCTCCCGCTCCACGAAAGGGGCCTGTTGTTCTCTCACAAGTCCCTTTTTTTTTGCACTTTCGTTAAGATAGCAGGTGAAAAAAACCTCCCTAAAAAGCAACATGAATGCCCTGTTCCCCTGGACCCCCTGCCTACTCAATTTGTCCCACTTCCCCATTTCACACCTACCAAGATGTCTGATTAGGATTCTGCCTCCAACTCCAACAGCCATCTGTCTCTGGTTCAAATATTAGGAGCCGCGAACCTCAAATTAGACTTTCCTCTGCCAAATTGGCTCGTTTTACACATTAGCTGTAAATACAGAACATCTGAAGCCTTTAAGAATATATTTGTGAAACTGTTACAAATTGCATATAGAGTTTTATGGATGCATTTACACATACGGCATTTAGAGTTTTATGGATGCATCTACACATACTGCATGTAGAGTTTTATGGATGCATCTACACATACTGCATGTAGAGTTTTATGGATGCATCTACACATACTGCATGTAGAGTTTTATGGATGCATCTACGCATACTGCATGTAGAGTTTTATGGATGCATCTACACATACTGTACTGTATGTTAGCGTTTTGTGTCTCACTGCTATTTAAACGCATTTCTATTTGCACTGATGACCTTTTTTTTTCTGCTTTGATTCCCACAGATCAGCGTCAATCAGCTAGAGCCAGAGATCGCCATGGCAACAGATTGTAAGATTGTGACATACAATAAAGGCCTGTGAGTGATCTGCTCTGCCAAACATCTAAATATAGGAGTAAAGTAAGAAGATCGAATTATGCTAAAAACTTGGCTGCGTTATCCTGTGAAAAGTAAGCATATGTTTACAGAAAGAATACACGTTGTTTTTGCCAAGACAATATATAATAAATAACACATATCGACACCTTTTAGGAATTACTATCCCTGTTAAAACATGCACACCAACCAACAAAATAACATCATGTGACTGAGCCACAAAACATATTTATGGAGTAACTCGAATAGCAACTATCAAAAACTATTTTCTATTAGCTTGCCTGGTTTCTTCTTACCTGTAAAAGACAATACATTTTGAGGTTAACTTAAAAAAAACGTAGTAGAATTATTAGTGGATTAGATAGTGATGGACCAAATACTCAAAGTAAAGTAGTGAAAAACGTTCCTGCATGATGAGAATCTGAATCATCATATTGTCAAGTCTCTCTGAAGTACAGGAGTAAAGTACCTCCAAATTGTAAATCATTTGAGTCTTGAGTCATTTGACTCCAGTCCGAGCCGACCGTGTGTTCTGGATTGTAAATGTAAATACTGTAAATGAAATCAGGAAAAATGACTGAAATGCATTTCCTTTGAAATAGTTTTTTGTTCTTGTTTATAATGAAACGACCGACCTTCTCTTGCTTTTTATATAAAGCTAACGCCAGTCTTACGACCTGGTGTCAGAGGTTGCATGTCTAGAGGGACAAATCAAAAAATATGGCACAAGAAAAAAGCTAATTGTAAAGTCCAAAATATGAACTTCATTTTGTTTTTTTCTGATTTCTTTACCTGGGCAATCATTTTGCAACCCAGCACATTCTTCTCGCGACCCCTTGTAGGGGTGCTGACCCCTATGTTGCGAAACTCCTATTTAATGGTTTCAGCCAACTGGAAAGGTTGCTCTGCCTGGTTTTGGTATAGTGCGTCTATCTAAAAACCTTTCTTGTAAACTCGAACTGTGAACTGCAATACGTTTTAAAACAAATGTATATCTCATGGAAATCATCCAATGACAATGTGATTTTTGTTCACCACAAAAGCCTGTATTGAAAACATTGTAATGTAGTTAAATGATGAATGTAGTTTTTGTAATAAAACAAGTTAATACTTTATATACACATACAAGTCTTAATGTAAAATATGGAGATTTGTATTCCATATTGTTTATTTTTAAATCTCTATTGTAAAATGCTGCTTTGTGTATGTACTTGGACTTGATTTATATAAACTTCCTGTCTACAAGTGTTATCTTTTGTCATGATCTTTGTGATGTGTGAGGAAACGCACGTTGACAAGCAGCCACATGCAGCACCAGCGGAGGATGCTGGCTGTAACTCGGGTAAGACAAATGCAAAACCCAAATAATTATCAATCCTATGGGCTTTTAACTATTATAATGGCTGTTCTGTGTACCTTATAATTTTTCTGTAATAATGTAAGTTTTATTGAAATATTACCTGATGGCTTTTAACTCTGACTATATTTCAAGAATGTATTTTATGACTCAATACAAATTATAATTGTTAGTTTGTTTACCAATTCCCAAGAATGTTCAAGATATGTTTTACATTTCTAAATTCTAATTACATTTAAAAATGACACATAACTTTATATTTTGGGGGAAAGCACCAATTGTATTTGATCTTTAGCACGCTTAGTTCAATGGCAACCTTCCTTATTGTAATCTCATATGTCAAATTAGATCATATAAGCCGAAATACATTTATTTATGCAATATAAAACGGTGACTAACCGGCATGCAATTTAAAATCAACAATTAAAGATGTGTCATTTGTTGCTCAAAGTAAATAAGGCTTTTTTAATCCTGTGCACAAACCCGGTAATCAGACAGTAATATTCAACCCAGTGCTTGTCTTTCGAGACAGCAGCAGTCTGATGCACGCCCCCCCCCCCTCTGCATCTCTCTGGAGAAGCTCTTTGTTTTTCTCTGCTCTCTCCTTCTCTGCTGACTCAGGCGACAGGAGACGCAGCGTTTAGGGAGACAGGCGTGATTTTCCGCCCTAATTGTTTTCCTAACAGGCGAATGAGAGGTGCGGCTCTCGGTAATCGTGCTGACCTTTTACCTAACGGAGACCTGATTGGCCTCGAACACACCTCCTGCTCCACTATTAGGAGCTGGCCGATATGGAGATCATCAAACATCACAATATTTCTGATCAAATATCACAATGTTGATACTGCGACTATAATGAACGGTTGACTATTGTGCGCTTTCACAATGAATTATTTGATAAATAATCTTCAGTAATGTGAATATAATGTCTAAGTGGGAAAAAGCGAACAGTCTGGGGAATTTGAAAATGACATCACTTCACTTCACATCACTTCACCTCTCTGAAGAACCAGCACCTTACCGTGGTAGAGAGGTTTGTGTGCCCTGATGAACCTGGGGGCTGTGTTGTCTGGAACCTTGTGTTCCTGGTAGGGTCTCCCATGGCAAATTGGTCTCAGGCAAGGGGCCAGACTAACATTGGTTCACAAGACCTCATGAAAGACGACACACGAAGTGAGGATACCCGGCCCGGAGGAAGCCCGGGGTCCCCTTCTGGAGCCAGGCCCAGAAGGAGGACTCGTCGGCGAGCGTCTGGTGGCCGGGCTTGCCACGGAGCCCAGCCGGGCACAGCCCGAAAAGGCAACGTGGGCAACACGTGGTTTGTTACTGGACTTCTGTGCTAGTCATGGATTGGCCATAACAAACACCATGTTCGAATATCAGGATGCTCATAAGTGTATGTGGTACCAGAGCACCCTAGGCAGAAGGTCCATGATCGATTTCGTTATCGTATCATCGGACCTGAGGCCGTATGTTTTGGACACTCGGGTAAAGAGAGGGGCGGAGTTGTCAACTGATCACCATCTGGGGGAAGCCTCTGGATAGACCTGGTAAGCCCAAACGTGTAGTTCGGGTGAACTGGGAACGTCTGGGGAAGGCCCAAGTTCAGGAGGCCTTCAACTCACACCTCCGGCGGAGCTTTTCGGGCATTCCTGTGGAGGTTGGGGACATTGAACCAGAGTGGTCGGTGTTCAAAGCCTCTATTGCCGAAGCCNGCTTACTCATACAAACTTTATTTCCCCACCTTCCATAAAATCGCAGACACAGCCAAGAGTGTTATTCTGTAATTTCATCTTCAGTCTGCCGTCATCATTATGGTGGTTTTGTTTTGTTTTTTTGTTGTTCTTTTTTTTTTTTTATTTTTTTTTGGGTGGGTTGTGTGGGTATTTTGGCTGTTGAGTGTTGTGGATGTGATATGGATATATTGTGCGTAAACGATCCATTGCGGAGAGAGCGAGAATCACTGTAGACAAGCGACGCGCGCGCCGGAGCAGGGATAAGGCATTGGTGCATTTGCCAGCAAATAGACATGTGTAAATATGAATTAACATTGATTTGATTCGAGTGACTTATCTGAATGTTTGTATTGAGTCTACTACTATAGAAAAAAAAGCCTTGAGTAGCGTTTGATTTCTGATGGTGGTCTGACTTCTCCCTTTAGGAAGGAGGTAGGTCTGGACCTGTTCATTCACACAAGAAGCTGATCTATGAGATGAATGGGTTGCGGACTTGTATAATATCGTTGTTAATTGTACAATGAATATAAATCATTTTCTTATTTTCTAATTGGTGCTTTGTTTTTCTGCATCAAACCTAGGAGTATATGTATTTTTTGTGTTGTTATTGGTTTCGTGCGTCGTCTTGGTCCAGCAGACGATTTCATAGGGTTAGTGCTTCGCACCTCTTGAAGTCCAGTGTATACCCTAGTTGGCATTTGTAGCTTTTTTTGGTTCATTCAGGTTTGTATCGTCTCTATCCGGGCACTTTTTTTTCTGGCTCAGTGGCTGACAGCACACACAGCAGAGCTTTAGTCGCCTGCCATCTGGGTTGGTTGGAGCATTTTTACATATTGACTGTCACATGATTTCTTAAGATAAATGTTGGGTCTGTTTTCTGAATGGTTGAGCTGGGGTGGCCCTGTTTCTTATTCAGTCATGTGCTGGAGTCTAGTAGAATTAGAGGGCGTGGTTCCATTCGGCCTCTTGTACTGGATATGTGTCATCAGCCACCGATTCGTTTTATGATACTCCATCTGTGAGGGTTTCTCAATAGTTTGTCCAGAACATTTAATAAATAGCAATATAGAATGTTATGGTTTTAATATTGATATTGTATACATAGGTATGATGTATGTTAGCTGATTGAGTTGATTTAGTTCAGTTATGTGAGTTACACAGACACACAACACACATCTATCTGACACAACCGAGTCACAACACAGCGACACACACACAAACACACACTACCCACTCGCATGGTCGCGACTACATGTCATTAAAATAACTTGTAGCTCGAATTTTTATTCAGGCTAGCCGCAAACGTTGACCAATAAATAATGTAAGACAACAGATGTTAAGACATCTGATAATAGGGCGATGGGGCAAACATGATGTTAGAAAAGGAAATTCCTGGTTGAATGGAATTTAACAAATCATCAATAATTAATGAAGGTTCAGATTAGAAAAATGTCTATTGTGAAATGTTCTGAAAGTTGTGTTTATTGAGGAGATGTATTTGAAGAGAGGGCAAAGGGGATAATACAAACATCGAGTGTTAGTGGCTTTTTCTTTCTTTTTTTATTTTGGAGTGTGAACGCACTGGCGAGGTTGTTTTGTACATGTGTAGGAACATACACATTGGAAGACATGAGCATATTATGCAGTTAGAGCTAGATCGGTACAAATATAGTATGTATCTGGTTCTATCATATAATATGTACAGGTCTCTTTTGTCTCTTGTGCGGCGAGCTCCGTGTGTTGTTTGGCGAGTTTCTCTCATGGTGTGTGCAAGTATCTTCCTGCATCTTCAGAGAGCTTTTGACGGCCTTTTTTTTCGCGATTTGCCCTTGCCGCACTCGTGGGTGGCTGGCTACTATAGCGAGGCTGATGAGGTTGTTGTGTTTATGGAGCCCAAACAGGTATATATAGTGTTTGAATCGCGAGAGAGAGAGAAAATAAGAGAACAGGCATTATGTGCAGCCAAGAGTGTTTGTTTCATGCCTTATCACTTATTATGGAGTATTGCATCGGTTGTGTATATTATTTATTGGAAGTCTTTGCGATATCTTAGTTATGTGTATTCGTTATCTGTGCTATCTATTTCTGTATCTGTTTTTATTGTGTGCGTGCTGTGTGTAGGTAGCGTGGTGTCCTGCTATTGATTTCAGTCGACATATTACGAAGCTTGTATGCTAACACTCGATACCAAATTAATATATGTCTACACTTTTTGTTTTTTGTCTTCTCGTTTTTTCATAGAGTAAGCTCAAGAGAATCGAATAAGACGAGTGGTTCTACATATCACGAGGAAATAACCATTTTTGCTGGTCAACATTATTGTTCACCAAGTGCTTGTAGAATAAATTATGCTGTTGATAGTGTAGCACTCCCCTTTGCCGGATAGATCCAACGGGGGTTTAGCCCTCGATGGCCGGGTGAGGGTTAGGGGTTATGGGTGTGTTATGGGTTTATGTGGGTAAATGTTTGTGTTGAAGTTCTATGGTGGGCCATGGGTGGGTGGGTGTGGTGTATTTGTTGTGTATTGTGTGTGCTATTGCTGCGTATGTGTATTGGAGGTCGTTATTGAGCACTGAGGCACTCTGTATTTGCACTTATACATGGGGTTTACCCTATACCCTAACCCTTAGACTCTTTCACATTCCACGATAGCTTGATGGGCGTTTTTCGGACCCCTCCCAGACCCCCCAATAAAGTCAAAACTGCACGTTTTCAAGAGTGTCCTTTTATTGTGGTACCTAGCTCCGTAATCATGGCGCGACAGCTATTGCAATAATCCTATTGGCTGTTCTATATCAGCATCTTGATATGCCACACTTGTGGGTGAGTGGTTGATGGTGAATTATCTCGGCAAAGAGAAGTGCTCACCATCACAGATTTTTTCAGATTTGTGACAATATTTGAGAAGAATAGTGGTTATTTGTGTATTTTGTTGAGTTATGGGAAAATTGTTTGGAGATTTCTGTGTTTCGTTCATGTGCTTCCTGAAAAAGGTTGGGAGTATCAAAACACTAAGTTGTGCATTTACATTTTGAGTGCTCAGATGTAATTACGAATGCCATATAATTGCGCTCTTGTGTGGAACTTCTGTTAGTAGGAAATGTTGGGACTAGGGTAAGTGCCGTTTAGGTGGGTGCACGTTTATGTCACAGTGATCTGATGAGCCATCGAGGTTGTACACTCACTTAGAGAGAGGGTATAAAAAAAAGAAGTTAACGGTTAGAATGTTGAGGGGTTAAGTGTGGTGTGCGGTAAACAAAAGTATGGCGTGGGTGCAGTTTGAGAGTATAGTAATGAAAATTGATAAAGAAACATATATGAAATGGAAAGAAACTGACTGACTGGATGTATTTTGGTATCCTCTCTCATATCTCTTCGGCAGGGATCTCTTGCTGTCGGTTGAACGTCTCCTCCGGTATTTGTTGGTTTTGGGTTATATTGTTGGATTGTGTGTCTTTGGTTTGGTAGTTTTTTTATTTTGTTTGTTCTTGTGCTGTGGGCAGAAAAGAGCATGGGCCGTATCCTGATCGAATCTGGCTTAGCTGTTGGCTGGAGAGGAACTCTGCCAAACTTCCTCATTATTAATTACCTGGCAGCCAAAGTGTATAATTTATTAATGAATTGTTTTGGGGTGTTTGGTGTTCAACAAAAAAAACACCTGAGTCTAAATGAAGTAAACAACCAGCATCAAACCATTTTCTTTTAAGTTTACAACCTGGGATACTTTGACTCTTATTGTCCTGAATCAAACAACTGGTTCAATAATATAAATCAAATCATAAAAAAATGTCACTGCTGCTTACACTAGTTGGTGAATAAAATACTGTCATCCAAACCTACCTAAGTGCAACCAGGTGTAAAACGCTGAATGTTCCTTTTCATTTTCTAATCCCAAATATATCTGATCTACAGGTAGAGAGGCAGACATTAAAATTACCTGACATCCAAAACGGTGAGCGTCGTGAATCATAAAAATGGCGTGTAACCGATGAAAGCTTTCCATTTTCATATTCATGAATTCAGCTGGACTGAGGCACGTGATGATTTTGGACAGCAGAAAGACACACTCCTTTCTCTATCACAAACACACAATAAAAAGGTTTAAAGACATATCACAGATTATACCAGAAACACAAAGAAGGTTTTAATTGAACCAATCATTTAACTATGTTATTATTCATGCCCAAGCAATCATTGGAAAACACATTTTTTGGACCCGATGTTGGGGAAATGTACAATGTTACAGCAAAGCAAAGTGGCCAGAATTATCTATTGAAGTAGCAAGCACAGTTTTTCAAGTGGTCTGAAGCACATAAGTAGATTAAACGTTTCTCTAACAAACAACAAAAAAAACTGAGATTCCAAGAGTGGGAAAGAAGACTCTAGCGGTGAGTTTATTTCAAATGTCACCTGATTTCCATCTAAAAAAACCTGGTGATGAGTTTAAGGAAAGTCCCCGTTGTGATTTTTCTTATTTTCAGAAAGCACAGATCTCCAGAGGAGACAATTGTTTGGGGCGGATCCTGGGAGTAGGGATTCTCTCGGAGAGGTTCACGATGAGTTTATAAAAGCCCCGTGAGTCCGTCTCATCACCCCCAAACACACTGATCGACACAAATGAAAATTATCCAGTGAGCTTCACGCTGGATGTGTTGCATGTGTGTGTGTGTTTGCAGAGCGGAGAGAGGATCCATGTTGCTGTGAAAACCTGTAAAGACTGTGTCTGCTGAAGTGAAGGAGAATTCTCAGTGAACGCTGGTGAGTGATGGTTGTGTCGGTAATAACAGGGTAAAACTGTTCCTAACCGGCTCAAATCTGGAGTTTTTCTACCTTTGAAAGCATGACTAGAAAAACATCCACTACAAAGAAGACCTTTCGGGTAAAGTGAAAAAAAAGAGAGAATGAGTTTGGCAACATTTTGTTCCGATCAAAACATGTTTGTCGGCGACTCCCTTTGCCTGGTTGTGGCTTTGTGAAAAAGCTAAAACTGGAAGGCTGTGGTAATCCTCATGGTTCAGAACAACAGACTCACTGTGTATGGAATGGATACCGGTGGTTATTCATAGGAATGCTATTCAAACAAAATACACATTACATGTTAGACGCTTTATCCAAAGCAACTTACATACAGTTCAGTGCTTGTGGACAATCCCACAGAGCAAATTTGGGGTGAAGTGTGCTCAGGGACACAACGACATGCTGCTGCAGTGGGACTCGAACTTGCTATCCCCTGATTTAAAGTCCAGCACCTAATCCGCACTGACCACAGCCTCCCCGTGGTATAATATGCACTCTTGAAAAGACTGCAAAATCTTAAAAGTGGAACCTATCATCGCTATATGTGAATAATATAGTGTAGGACCATACTATATAAGGCATATTAATACTTTTTATTTTCAAAATACCAACAGATCATGCTTTTTAGCCATTCCTCATTTCGCTCAATTTACATGTCTTTGCATCATGGGGCGATTCTGTGAGAACAGCACCATCCCTACAGGCCTGGCATATGAAAATCTGGTGGCCTGAAATATGTACTACAGCGTCTCCAGTCGCTTTCCAACGGCAATGTCCGTGGCTGTCTCCTCCTGATTGGTGGAGTTGGCCCAATAGCCGTAGCGCCACTTCTGTGACGTCATAGAAGTGTTCAAATCTGGATCAGTCTGTATCAGATCCGTTGCAGCCCCTTTTTTAAGAGATTTGGGTATGGAGGAAAATAGAGAGGGTTGTGTTTTCTGACACTTGGTGAGTTCCCTGGAACACCGGGGACACATATTCATGTAGAAAAGACGTACAAAAGTGCATTTTGCATGATAGGTCCCCTTTAATTAACATTGAAAAAAAAGCCCTGATTGATGAACCTCGAGGCTGCCATGTTAGAACAAATGTATTGTCATATCAGAAGTCTAGTTTGTATGAAAGCTCATAAGCTGAAGAATAGGTCTGATATTCACTAGCTCTGTTTCAGTCGAAATAGGAACTGTGATATCTTCGCTAATAAGAGAGTGTGAAGTATTTCTAAAGAGGAAGATGACATTGCTCTTATCGCTGGCACAAGCTCTGCCACACACACACAGGTTAGATTCTGCTTTGTGATACTGGTTTTCCTGTCAAGTATAAATAAAAGCTAGTGGTTAAGCGATGGTAACTCTGGTAAGGGACTTTTAATTCCCCTCTCATGCTTCCTGTTCTGCTAAAACGCAAAGTTCTGTCTCTAATAGTAATACATGTCTGTCTTATTTTGTCTTTTATTTGTTAATGATCCTAGCTGCTTTGTGTGTTGCAGACTTGATGAAAAATCTGGATCATCCCCACATTGTGAGTCTAATCGGAGTCATTGAGGTGGATCCCGTGTGGATCGTCATGGAGCTCCTCGAACACGGAGAGGTCGGTTTCTGTTTTGTTTGGATGAAATGAATGATCTTATTTATACAACACGAGGTGATGGAGATATAGTGTCACAGAAACACAGTATAAATTGACTTATTTAAAAGCCGAGAGAATAAAAGAAAATTCTGTATCCTTGTTTTAAAATAGGCGAGTTCAATTGGCAACCTGTCTCTGTATTAAGTTAACACACTGGAGAGTTTAGGTTGCACAATATAAGTTATACGAGGTGCAGGTATCTTTAATAAAAGTGTGTTGTGTTCCTGTCAGCTGGGCAGCTATCTGGTGGAGGAGCAGTACACCCTGACCACAGCAACCTTAACACTGTACTGTCTGCAAATCTGCAAAGCCTTGGCCTACCTGGAAGGACTCAACATGGTGCACAGGTAACACACACTCCTCTAAGACAACCGCACTTTGAAGTGAAAGACACGTAATCATTCGGTCTGGTTTCTGCAGAGATATAGCGGTGAGAAACGTGTTGGTGGCGTCTCCTGACTGCGTCAAACTCGGCGACTTTGGTCTGTCTCGCTACATTGACGAACAAGAGTATTATAAAGGTGAACACTTTGCCTCTGATATGGTCAGCATCTCAGAGACTCTCAGCGTAGACGAAACTCATTTGAGGTGTTAAAGTTTTTCTTGTCTTTATCAAGAGGTACAAGGAGTTTTAAATACCTCCAGCATGCATTCCCATAATGTCATTCTTTGTAATATTAAAGATACGTGTTTAATCTTTATTTCAGCCTCAGTGAGTCGATTACCGATCAAATGGATGGCACCAGAGTCCATCAACTTCAGACGCTTCACCATCGCCAGTGATGTCTGGATGTTTGGTGAGAAAGCACTCGTCTGTCTGAGCATTAAAGCAAACTCACACTCAACTAAAAGTACAGTTTTGTCTGCAGGATCAAGCTTTTCCTAACGTCAGACATGCTACAAATGAACTGTTAGAATTGTTTCAGTGAAGCTCCTTCTTTCCATGTCTCTAGATACGGTGGTAATGAAACTAATTGAAGTAAGAATGCAGTTTCAAAGCTTGTAGACTTCTCTTATTAATATACATATTATTATTCTTACATTTTTGTATTATTTTGTTGGTCTTTTTCCCTTTTTTTCACATTTTTAACTACTAGGCTGTATTTGATGTTAAATATCGTTAAGTGTGAATAAAAAACCAACACAGCTGTCCCCGTGTGTGTGTGTTGACCCAGGTGTGTGTGTGTGGGAGATGTTCTCCATGGCCCAGCAGCCGTTCTTCTGGCTGGAGAACGGTCAGGTGATCAACCAGCTGGAGTTGGGGGTTCGACTCCCCATACCTCAGCAGTGCCCCCCCCACGTCTACTCCCTGCTGAGCCGCTGCTGGAGCTACGAGCCGAACAGCCGGCCCACATTCAGCCAGCTCGTCTGCCTCCTCAGGTAAAAACACCTGCCTCTCTTCTCTTTTAATACCCAACTTAGGGATTTTAGCCTTTGCAGACCATTGACATGCACACAAACGTATATAACACACTACAGGAGAGGGCAGAGACACAATAGGCCTCCTTTAACGTAATTGCCTTTTTTTCTCACTTTGGATGTTTTGTCTCATCTTTCCATCCTTGTTAAGACATAAGACTTGAATATGTTTTAAATTGAAATTGTGGCCTGAAAAGTTCAAATAAACGTGTTCTTACAGTTATGCATGCTGGGATTTGATGTTAAGTACTTTGCATGTTGCATTGTTGGAGGAGTCTGACATTTATTGCCAAAACTACACGGTAGATACTAAAAAAAACTCTGAACGTGTGTGTGTGTGTGTGTGTGTGTGTGTGTGTGTGTGTGTGTGTGTGTGTGTGTGTGTGTGTGTGTGTGTGTGTGAGACAGTGATTTCCACAGGATGGAGTTGGAGCAGGATGGGAGGAGAGACAGATCGCGCTCCGTCTCTACATTTGATGCTAACAATCCCAAAGCGCCTCCACCCAAGGTACGAATAAATGGAAATTACGTGCTGCATAAAATCTGTATGGAGGTGAATGCACTTCCTCTTGTGCTTTAGTTAATCTAGTCTTTTACTTTAGCAGACAGTGACGGTCTGACACTGTAAGTCATTAAGAGCAGGTTTACTTATCCAACTACATTTTGTTTGTTTGCTTTCGCTCAATTTTCCTTCATTCTTATTTGCATTTGAGTCCACATATGTTTATGCTATCTATTTTTAGTTAGTGATGCATTTGACTTAATTAAAAGACTATCTTAAAATAGACCACATGAGGCTGTTTTACTCCTTATAATAAATTAAAAAATCCACTTTTTCTCTTTTCCAGCCATCCAGAATAAAAGGCAACACCCTTCCTCGACTCACGTGCCAACAGGTGTCAAAACAACACACTTTCATATTTCATTTTTTACCAAATTTAGGAGCTATTTAAATCTCCAGTTGTGACTTATTGTTCCCTTATAGATACAGAACACACTGTGTAAACCTGCAAATGTTTTAAATGCAATATTGGAAAAGATGTCTGATCACCTTAAGTGGATATATTGTTCACTCAATGACTAACTCTTCAGTCACACTGCGTAAAGCCAGCTGATTTTAAAGTTGATCAGGCCAAAGTTGATGACTAAGCAGAAACCAACATAGAAATGGAACAATCAATCAATTTAAAAATGCAAAATAACTTCTTAGAAAATGAGTAAAATAACAAACAATTTTTAGACTGAGATCAATCAAATCATAAAGCTATACTATTGCAAATACTGGAGTGAAAATGTAACATTGAAAGGGTGTGTGTGTGTGTGTGTGTGTGTGTGTGTGTGTGTGTGT